GGGAAAAGGAACACACCTTTTTACTGGAGGAACTACAGAATGTTTTGCATAAACAGCCCATAGTCTTGTGATGCCTTGATGACTAACAGTTTCATGATAGCATAAGGTACTTTTTTAAAATCAAGAGTCCATTTCCTTTGATGCAACAGTGTCATCAGGAAGAGCTGAATGGTGCTGTCACAGACAGAACATTTTGGAAGGTTTTTGTTCATAGTGTCACCATGGGTTGAAAATGACTTCAACCCATGGTGACACTATGGTGATGGCACATAACAACCACCCCCCCTTGAAATGCTGGCACAATTCAATTATCATAGGTGGTTTTGTCTTACTGCCTTCTAACAATGCCTGGCTTACGTATGTATACCGCAACCTAATCACATTTCAGATTAAGTTGCCTAAGAATAAACAAATGGATGAAAGTTGAATTTTTTTTCTTCATTGGGACACAAAGAATACTTTATACAGGCTATCTCCTGGGTTATGAAAGAATTCTGAGAAAACAGAAATTTGTCTTTAAGTTAAATTTGTTTGCAAGTTGTATCAGGCACAGTTGGCCCTCCACTTTTGAGGGGGCACAGGACCCCCATGAAAGTGGAAAAACCATGAATATCTCTAGCCCTCCCCCCACTAACCAGTACCTCCTCTTGGAGCAAGAAAATGCCAAAGAGATTTCTCTCTCCAGATGGACAGGGTTGGAAGGCATGCTTTGAAAGCCTCTGTCCCTGCCCTTTTACTTTTCTCTCTATGGTCCTGCAGTATTTTTTTAAATAGGCTTTGTGGCAGTTCATTCGTAAGTATGGGTTGTTCATTAGTTGGACATTTGTAACTCGGGGACTGCCTGTAGTTTACTCATTGTAGTTAACTCATCTGTTGTGCACTTCATCCAGATTATTGTTTCCAGCATGAGTGGGATAGTGCTATTGCACTTGTGTCCCACTTCTCTGAAGTGGCTGGGTGAGCACTGTGGGAAATGGCATGCTAGACTGGATAAGCCTTTGGTCTAGACAGGTAGGACTGCTCTTGAGGAGACATGAATCTGTATCCGGTGACACCCTCAGTAGCCCACTGTGATAACTTTGCCCAGCACTTTCAGGAGAAAATCGCTCAGATTCATCATGAGCTGGTCTACACAGTTAATAAGACTCCACCACGGGAGGTATCCAGAGCTCTGTCTGGTTCATCATTGTTGGAGGAGTTTCAGTTGTTGCAGCCTGATGATGTGGACTAGGTGCTTGGTAAACACACCCTACCACCTGTTTACTTGACCCTTGCCCTTCATGGCTGCTTACCAGAGCCAAACATGGGATTGGTACCTGGTTCCAGGAGGTCATCAACACCTCGCTGAGGGAGGGCCAGGTCCCTACCCCTCTGAAGGAGGCAGTGATGGGCACAGTCCAGCGAGGCGGTGGTGGCACCTGGCTCATGCACAGCGAGGTGGTGGTGGCAGTGGGCGCAGCAATCTGGCCCATGGGCTGTAGTTTGACAACCCATGTTCTAAGCTATTACTGGAAAATGGTGATGGGAGAAATTGTACCTTCCTTGTACAATAAGGAAGCTATGCCAGTCAAACATGGTACTGGTAGAAATATAAGAAATGTTTAACAATAAAAAAGTTCTGAAGGAAGCACACGATCAAATGTCCTCATTGGTTAAACTCCCTTCAAGAATTTCCTGCATTCAATGTGGTTTTGTAATTTATATGAACTTTGTGACTTCATCATGTCCTTATTATGTTTAAGTCTCTGGTCATGAACATGGAGTTTTATGGGCAAACAAATGAGTGCAGAAAGAGAGCAGAGGCAATCCTTGCCCTGTAAAAGGTACAAATGGCCAGGTTCATCCATCTAGGTTTTTTGCCCATGCTTGTGAGATTCCTTGTATACTGCATGAGCTTCATTCCTCTTCCCTGCCCTCCATGCCAGCTCCAAAACTGCACTTAAGACTTTGGCACTGCAGGCTGGGTGAACCTGTTGTAAACTGCCCAGAGAGCTTCAGCTATTAGTAGTAATAGTACTAGTAATAAAATAAATGAACTATACCAACTGCAAGGGCAGAAGGAAAGTATCTGACTTTAGATGCATTTCTGGTGTTGGTGTTGGGCTTCTGGCCTATCCTATAGCAGTCTAGATGGTGTCCAGGAGCCATAGGATTGGGACTTAATCAGTGTGCTCTAAGCAAATTTTACCCATCTTGTCTAGAATAAACCCCAAATGACCATATACCTGGCCATGAAAGCAATTATGTGTATGCTATTCCCATTGAAATCTACCTAAGTTCATCATTTAACAAGTCAGCAAAGTGGCCAGAATATGTCTGATACCAGATCAGACAAGAATCCCTGTATAATAATTGCACTCGAACCTGCTAGTTCGTACCATAGTTGGGTGGTGGGGGTGAGAGAAATCTGGGAAAATGACACTGTTTTACATGAAAAATTCTCAAAAGCAAGTCAGCATACTTCCCCGCTACTGCAATTTTGTGTAGGTCAAAAGTACGTATGTAAATATGCTGATTTGCATATTTGTGCTTTCTTAATTACTACATTCCAATTTTAGTTGTTGGTTCAGGATAATCACAAGCAGGTTTGGCGGAATGGGGAAGTTGAATAAATTTTTGTTTACTAAATACCTACAAAACCTTGTGAGATAATAGGTTCACTCAGAAAGCAAGCACCATCCTCAGAAACCAAGCCAAGCCTTCAAGCGTGCTGTGGTAATACATGTGTTGCCATGCTTGGTATATTCTGTTGCTATCATAGAGTATGTAAAACTTAGCAGGAAACCACTCTTATTTTATTCTTCACTTAAAAAAAGCTCTTTCCTATCCAGAGTGTATTCTGCCCTTAGAATGTTGTGAAAGTGGTAACCTTAGATTCAAGTTCAACTGAATTTTTGGCTTCCAAATGCATCTGGTTTCAAAATGGCACTTTTGAGTTAAAACAAGTTTTGTTGACTAGACTGTAAGTATTATTATTGCGGGTGGGAGAGAGAGCAAATCTGGCATTTGAAACGGAAGTAATGGCTGGGTGCAAGCCGTGCTGTACAAAGTGCTGCCACAGAACTTTGAAAGGGTGAAACTAATTTTCTCAGAGACTCATGTGAAGAAGGAAAATATAGACTGATACATGTGCCTATTGTACAAAACATCATTAAAACCGCCAGCATAACAACTGAAGTATGAATTTACAGGGTACCAAACATGGGCGAACCTTTGCAGTTATGCAAATATCTGTCACGCTTCTTGGAGGAGCTACATTTTATGTGTGCGGTCAACCAGTTCTCAACAATCCCAGTCCCTCTGAACAGCAAGCACAAAACACGACAGCGGCAGCTTTCTCAGTCTCTCAGTTGCAGGAGCCGATAGAAAGGGGGCAAGATCAGTGACGCAGTAAGTGACCTCACGCCCACACTCACTGCTAAGGCATTCCGCATAGTTCTGTTTAAACTACACATTCTGTGAGCCTTTAAAATGGAATTCTTTACTTGCTTGCTCTACAGGACTTTATTTGAAGTGCACCTTGTGGGCCTTATGAAGGACTGAGGGCCTCTAGTGGAACCAGATCATTTTGCATCACGGAGCAAAGTTGGAACACGTGAGGTTTTTGGAGCCCAGTGAGGAGCTGATAAAAAAGAACAGGTTTGCCGTATTTTTAGAATGTTCCCTGCTCCCCTCCCTCTTGCAATTTTACCCTCCCTTGCTGAATTCCAAAAGCAGAAATCCAGTGCTCTCATCCGTAGTGGGGATGAGGAGATATCTGCAATGATTGAAAAGTGTCTGGATTTCTATGCATCCAGCCTGCAAATTTTGTGGCAGGTTTTTATGAGTTGAATAAAGAGGGATTTGCATTGATTCACACTTGCAATAATGAACATTAGCACAAGTGAAACACAATCCTCATTCACCCATAACCCCCCTCCCCCATTCTGCCAGTGAATGGACAATACAGTGAAGGATCCCGGAGAAGCTGCAAAACACAAACAGAATGCATATTTGCATCTCTGGAAGGTAGCATAAGCCCTCTTGAAAGTCTGGGATCTGGGCAAGCGCTGTAGCCCAGGTCATCCTTATTTCAGTGGGACAGTGACAGATGATCCAGTAGGCATATGGTCTCTTCTCTTTAGCCATGCAAACAGGAAGAGGAAAATCAATGTATAGGCACACACACGCACACACACATTGCTGAAAGCAAAATGATGTTATGGCCTGTAAGCCAGTACTGCTTAAGACTGAATACACACTTATATTCACTACCTCTACTGCATTCATAGTCAGGTAACTCACAAAACAGAGAGACAGCTATTTTTTCCTGGCCTACTTTCCATGGCCAAACATCTGGCAGGTACCAGGTTGGGGAAGCCTGATGAGCTAGCCTGTAACGTTTTTTGTTAACCACATGTGAACTTGTAAGGGTGTGCCATGCTTACCTTCTCCCTTCTCTTCAGAAGCCATCAGCCAGAGACCATCAAAAGTGGAATGGACGTTTCCTACTTTGAAGGCACAATGCTAATCCAGGCCAATGGAGGGAACATTTTTGGAGTGGAGAACTGCAGCGGTCCCAGTGCACCCCTTTGGAGGCTATATGGACAGGTCTGGTGGGTGATTGCTGGGGTCGTTGCTTTGTGAAACCTAAATGCAGTTCATTTCTGGCCATCCACATACTTTATGATACAGCTGGCCATGCTGACTGCAAGTATGACAGAGCAATTTAAGTGGAAAAGGGGTGGCCTGCTTCCTGTTCACATGTGCTTACTGGTGACTGCTTAATACAGCTTAGCCTGGCCAGACTTTGCCTCAAGAGGGCCATCCTCTCTCTGTAAACTAGCAGAGAGTTTATTTGGGCCCATGGACCCTCTGAACACACAATGCAAGGATAAACAGAGCAACAAAGATGTTGATACAGCAAGGGGCAATTCTGTTTTAAAGCTATAGAAAGAAGATATGTGGTCTTTCATTCGTGGTGCAAGATGTTCACATGCACAGAAACATGGAAAAGGATATGCAACAACTTATCCCACCTTTATTTCTGGAACACACGTACATACACTCAAGACAACTGGATCCCAAAAAGCAGCCAACCCTACTGCATGCAGACCCTGCTCCCACCCCAGCTGCATGCAAGAAAGGACTCCTGCCAATGATCTCAAGGAGCACACAGCCCAGGAAGCTATTCCGTTCTTTGCTTAAGTATAAAAAGGGCTGCACTAAAAGGGGGAGGGGGAGATAAAGGAGAGAGAGCAAAGAACAAGTGGAAACCAAAAGGCAGCAAGAACTGTTAAGTCTGTTCCTGACAGCATCTTTTAAACAGGATAGTTACATCAGGCTGAACCAGCTGCCACTGCGGAGCCCAGTGTACCATACCAGAATCAGGGACTGTAGGGAATGGCAGACTAGGAGTATAATCCCATGTGTGTTTATACTGAAAAAGTCCTACAGCCTTCTGCATTCCCCAGCCAGCCATGCTGGAGGTTGTGGGATCTTTTTCTGCCTAAACAGGCATAGGAATGAACCTCTGCATTCCAGTATTGTGCTCTGCAATGATAGCTTGGCTAACAGAAACATATAGGAAGTGGCACAGCAATTAGATAACTTGATCAGAAGCTTCCACACTGTCCTAGGTAACTGTATGTCCAGATCATGCTAGCACCTCAAAGACAGAACTCATTTTATCTTCCTTTCATTTAAAATTAAAATCCAAAAGCAGCTGTCATTCAGGTTTGAAAAATTCACAGGTAAGCCCCTACTAATCCTTGGTCTTGCTTGGATTAAATGAAGCACATCTCATTAAGGATTCTGTCTCCAACAGCAAAATGAAGACGACTTTTGGCCAAATTACACTACAAGGGAATAGTAGTCAATGAAATTTTAAATGCCATTTTCTGCATAGCTCACAAATAATGAGGTAAGGGGTATGTGATCCCTGGATTTCTTTGCAAAGTTTGGCAAGGGTAGTAAGAGGTTATCTTTATTAATGGGATGCAATAATGTATTTGGTTCATTTTCAAATGGGAATTGGAGGCTGAATGGAAAGTCAGCCAGTTTTATTCCATTTGGTTCGTGCTTAAAGCCCATTTCCAAGTATGGTTACTCAAAGCCCCACTCACGTCAGTGGCATTTATGAGAATGAGCATGCATAGGTTGCCAGTGCAATCCAGAGAGAGGCATGCTTGGTCCGCTGGAAACCAATCCCAGTTAGGTGCAAACCCCCCGCTTGTCCATTTCAGCAGTGCTTTGTGTTGAAAGATGCCTTCCATGGAAGTCAAAACCTCCACTAATTTAAATGGAGCTGGACTGTACCTTAACAATGAAAGTATTTTAGATTCTGTCTTTCCAAACCTCAGTTTGAAAGCATCATACAAATATTCCTACAAGGAACCTTATGAAGATGCACTTTTGGCAAGAGAAAAAATCTAAGGTTAACACAAGGAAAACTGACTAACAGATATAAAATATTGCTGAAATTTTCTTGCACCCCCTGTCCCATCAATTGCCCTAAACTACTTGGCAGGGACATTTTTTTCCAGAGCAAGTAGCTTCTTGGTCATTTGCTCTAACTGTTCTTTGAGATATCAGTACATTAAAGACAGCAAAAAGTTTTCTGTATTCATTTGCAAAACTAAATTGCCTGTTTTGACTGAGAGGAATAGTTATCTCAAACCAAGATCTCAAATAGTCAAATTTTCACAATGTTTGCATACATTTGCACATCCTGGAAGATGATGTTTCCATGGTACCTCTGATGCCACCATCACTATAAGGTCTTTTGCATCTGGTCAAGCAGGGAAGGACTTGTGCCTATTTGTTAATGTCATAAGATGTAGGCAAGCAAAGAGTAGAGGACTTTTCTGATCATTGATTGTCACTATGATAAAACAGCTGTATAAAGTGACCTGATTTTTCACACTTGATGAGCAAGAATTGAAAAGCAAACATAAACTGCCCCTCTCGAAATCCACAGATGAAGTGTGTAGGTGGCATACACTGTTCATCAGAGATTTAGGAGGCAATGGCCTTTAGAGCTTTAGGAAGGAAGAACATACGACAAAACATTTTCAGTATGCAGAAGCCTTGAATTCCTGAGGATTCCCCCTGCCCTCAACTCTGAAATGCACTCTTCTCTCTCTTTCCTGTGGAAGCTTTTCGAGACTGCAGAGCTCTATCTGAAATAAACTCAGCTTTTGTAAATGAGTAAGATGCACAGAGCTCCTAACACAAACTGTCACATAAGAAGCCTTTAGGTCCTCTGGTGATGATGATTAGATGCTTCAACTCTTTATATTCAACCAAGGAACAAGCCAGCTTAAAAGCCCTAACTATTCTGGGTATCAAACATGGAAGGAAAGGAAATGCTGTGTTTTTCTACAGGAGTGGCAGGTTTCTCAGACTTAGGCTGAGAAGTTGTTCCATCCTCAAAAGCCTAAGAGTGGCATATGATTGCAATGCGATGGTGTACCTGTCGCCACCCCCTCCCCCCCAAAAAGGATGTCTCATATTGTTTTGCCACAAAATGACAAATGCACTGATAGTTTCAGAATGAGAGCCTTTTCGTATGCCAGCAAAAAGGCAAGAATTTTTATCAGGCCACTATGCATTGTGTAACAAAAAGCTTTGCTGTGTGAGTTCGTCTGCCTAAAAGCTGCACACGATAAACTTCTGCCAAAGCTTGCTGAGCTACATTTCCTGAGCATCTCCCCTCCACTTTACAGCACTTGCCTCAACTTGGGGCCCTTCAGATGTTAAGAACGAGAGCTCCCAGCATTCTTGACCATTGGCCATGCTGGCTGGGGCTGCAGAGAGCTGAAGTCTGAAACACCTGCAAGGCCCAAGGCTGAGAAGGGCCATGAGAGAGAGAGACTATGGGGAAATGGGGAGCCTTTCTTTTCCAAATGTGTACAGCAGCCCTAGGTTTCATCCTCTGTGTACTTGGGAGAGTGACAGGGGAGTGGCCACAGACAGTCTGAAGGCCAGCTATTAACAAAGCGGCAGCACAAGCTTTTCTTCCCAGGTGTGTGCTGCTGTGTTCTCTCTCTGGGCCACACTCATCCAGAGGTGGGAGGACAGCCCCCTGTATTGCATACGTCAATCCAGGCCAACAGCAAGGGCCACGGGAGGCAGAAATACTGCATAGTCTGCCCTCTCCCTTCCAAATGAGATTGTGCAGCTGCTGCAGCACTCTGTAACTATCACCAGTTCACATCCAGGTGACTTGGCTGGCACTGCTGTCCATCTGACTCAAGCAATGGCTCCATCCAGGACCCCAACAATCCTCTGTGGTCTCCAGCTCATGTATGGACAAAAACAGAGTGAGTCCGTTTGCTTTTTTAAGTTCAAGCTTGCCCGTGTGAAGCAAGACATTCACAATTTGAGAGAGAAACCTAGCTGAGGGAGAGAGGTGGACAAGAATGGTGTCTTGCTGATGGGACTCACAGCTGCTTTTTTTCTCAGATAAACTACTGTGCTCTCTACCTTCTTGCCCTGCTTCCTCTCCATGCAACCTCCCTTCTTGTCCTTAAAGATTCCCAGATGGCATCAGCCAACTCTTCTATGCATCTGATTAGTGTGGAGGTGGAGAGTAAGGAAAAAGAAGAGGAACCACAACCTACCTAACCATCGAAGTGGCAGCACTCCTTTTCATTGACACATTCGATTGAAAGTTACATTCTATCTGGACCCAAGGCCCCTCCTCACCTTATAAGGCACAGGATGTGGAAGAGGAAAACACAATTCCCTCTTTATCCCTGAATTGCTGACCTTCCTCTGCTCTCTGCCAGCTCCACCCAGTTGCAGAAGGACTCTTATCATCAAATCCTCCCCGAGGGCATTCAACACTTCCCAGCCTGGCTCTGCCCAAAATCTGTAAGATTGCAACCCTAATAATCCCCAATCAGATGGCTGGGGCATTACAAAGTTATAGTCCCATACAACAGAAGGCCACCAGGTTGGGAAAGGTTGGCATAGAAGCTCCTGTAGCTCTTCCTTCTGAGCAAAGTGCTTCAGCCACTGGGGCCTCAACAGAAGAGGACCAGCTTAAAATGTGGTAGAACAAGACCCAGGTCCTGTCAGCAACACAGGAGGCAGGGCAGGAGCGAGCTTCTCTGGCAGGCATGGCCTAGTTTGCTGGTACAAACAGCCTGTCATGGGGAGCTGCTGCCCCAGCTCTCCCCACAGGAGACCAGGTGGGGGACAATGTCATTCCTGGGCTTGGGTTTGTGAGCCTACAGCAGCCTTCTTTCAAAAGGAGCGGCAGAATTAAGGTCTGGTTCACTCCATCTCTACCGTAATGAGCCAGCAAACACAAAGGCCTCCTAGGCTAAAACACCCTCAACTCAAGGCACTTTTTGCACCCACTTGACTCTTTATGGGGCTTTGTAGAAGATGTGCTGCAGCTATAGAACAGCAGCACTACCGAGCACTGCGCTCTAGTCTGGCTCTCGGTGAAAGTTTCAGCCAAAAAGCGTGGCCTTCAAACCAGGGGAACCCACAGGGAGGCCACCAAAGCTGGGATTACCTTCTTGCATGGTAATCCCTATCAACTGGGAGGAGGGGTGGGCAGAAAGGAGGGAGAGAACTCTGAGCCCAGCCATCCAGGATTAGTCCACAGTACTGATACATGCAGTTCATTTGTGGGTTGCATCCTTCTTTCCAGCAAGCCAAGCCATATCCAAGCTTCCATCTCTGGCACAACACCATCTGTTGTTTGCAGGTGCACCGTCTGCTCTGCAGCTGTTTGGCAGGCCATGGTGGGGTTAGTTCCTGTCCGAAGAGTGGCCCCCACATGCTTTCAAGGGATTAGATTCTCACTGGAATAACCCATTTGAAAAACACCAGAAGTATAAAAGAGAGCAACAGCCTTTGGAAGGATGCTGACTGACACACACAGTTAATAAATAAAAAGTGAGTCCTCAAGTAGTGGTGTGGGAACAGCTCCTCAAGGAAACCAACCTGTTTCCTACAGCTCCTGCTGGCTCAGTCCCCAATTTGGGGAAAGGGTGGCCACAATTAGTATTAAAAGCGTCAGTGTTAAAAAATGAAACATTCACATGGTTGCAGCGGCTTACAAAAATATTAAAAGGTGCCTGCTCATGACTTCCCAGGGCAACATATCCACTCAGCAGCGGCCTCAGGGCAGGGGGCAGCTCCCTTTTGCCTTGCCCTGTTCCCAAGTCCTTTGGAGAAAAGAGCAGCACGCGGATCTCACGGAGCTCCAAGGCTTCCTGTGCCCCTCTTCCCAACAGGCTGGGAAGGTGATATGGAAAGCATTCCAGGCCCTGTTTCACGTTTGCTCTGCTCCAGCGACGGCTCCCACAGCCTCATCCTTAGCTTGGGGCTCCATGTATATTGGGGTGACTGAAGAGGGTTTCTTGATTCTAGGAGAAAAATGAGAGGAGTGGATGAATTAGGACTTCAGGCACAGGAAGGGGAAGCTGAAGCTCAGCTGCAGCTGAATGGATGGAGGAAAAAGACAGGGTACGGACTTCTATCAAACTAGCCGAGTTGTCCCAAGGTGTTCTGCCTCTTCAGCCCAAGGGCTGAATACAGTTCTGCAGAAGCTCTCATGGGCTGCAGTCCAGTGATGGGGTGCCAAAGGCAAAAGGGAAGGAGCCAAAAATACCGGCTTGTTTTTGCTTGAAACTCTTACTGCCAGAAATTAAGCCTTCAGAAAGACTGGAATGGGGGAAAAGGCTGTAGGAAAATTGGAAAACGAAGTAATTAGCAGGGGAAAGCAGCTAGGGCCAGGGAGAGGGCCTAGCCATCTCAAGGTGGTTCTAATCCTATGGCCATCTCTTTCCTGGTTTAACTGCTTCCCTGGCCACAGCCATCTCCTTCATAGCCAACTGATTCAATAGCCATCATGAAACGGGATGGGTCCCTGTGTAGCACTCTTGCCACTAAGAACCTCTTGCCAAGTTCTTCAAAACAACCGTTGGTTAAGGAGGAGGGGAAAGAGGCATGAGAGAGTTAAGCCCACATGGAAAGAGACTAAGGTTCAACCAGCTGCTGGAAGACATTTCTCCATGGCTCTGTCTAGAGCTGATTTGACTGCTAGCTGAAGAAATGTTGGAGTAACACCAGGAGAGAAGTTGTCCGAAGTACGAAGTACACAGTACCAAAATCTGATGGCAAAGGCAAGTCTTATGCAGCTATAGGGGAAAGATACTTACGAATATGGAGAGGCAGGGACTCCTACTACCAGGAAGTGATTCTTTTTCCGAAAGAGACGCCATAGCCCTTTGTGATTCCCACGGACATCCAGATCCCAGATATGGAGGCACTAAGAACAGTGTGGGGAAAGGACAGTTTGTGAACAACCTCCTAGCAAGACCAGAAAAACCATGGGACTGAAGCTCTACAATCTAAGCAGACTGGGCCTCCTCCAAGCCATTTTCTGCACTCACATTGAATTCAGGCATAGCTTAGCACTACAGGAAGGTGATCAACTTGGGGCCTGCCAGGTGTTTGAGCCTACAACTTTCACCAGCCCTAGCCTGACTTAATAATGGTGATTTGTAGACCAAAACATTTGGCAGACCCCTAGTTGTCCCCTCTACACTTTGGCAAATCTCTCTCTCCCACATCTGTGCAGTCTCTGTCACAGGTTGGTTCAGAGGAAAGTTACCTTGGCAAGCTGAGTCCATGTGGTGAAATCTCCTTCTTGCTCCATCTTGATGTACATCACATATATCTTCCCTTCTGTGTCTGGTACAAAGGAATCTTCACAGGGGTTTTTGCTATGATCCAGAACTTCTGCCTCACTGAGGAAGGAGTGAAAACAAACCAAACACAGTGGGGAAAGGCAAAGAAGATAGGAAAGAAATTAAGAACATACAAACATAAAGGCAATTTTATATTTTGATGTGCCTAAAAGACCTTATTGTACAAATAGTATAAATAAAGTAAGATCCATGTGAGAGAGCCTACTATTTTCCATTGTTCAAACTTTGTAGATCAGCTCAAACTGTTATGGTTATTCTTCTGATTATGTCCACTCCAATGAGCAATTGATGAGAAATTTCCACCACCTGACAATTGCAGTCCAAAACCTCTATACACTTTATCATGATATCTAAGAGAAGCCACCTAGTCCCCATTTTTAGAAATCAGGTTCAGCACTGAGATACAACTTTATCAAGTTTTGTTCACCAGTGATTCATTTCCTTTTTATATAGACATCAGGTCCAAACCTCTGACTAGCAACAGCAATCAAGTATAGTCTTTGTATGCACAGCACGCTAGCAAAATTCATGAACAAAGACATAACAACGGAGCCTTCTGCTGATCCATACAGCATTCTACAAGCATTCATCTGTAGCAGCTCCAAACTGTTCTTGCTCCCTTCCAGCCTTTGCAAAATTGTATCTCTTATTTTATCCCAGCAAGTGTGTGATTTCCTAACATGCAAGTTACCTGAGCAGCCGATGGATTTCAATCTCGTATGCATCTTTCTTTAAGCTGTGTGGCAGAAAGAGGAAATCAGTTAGAAGAAACGGGCCTCTATTCCCTCTCTCCAAAATTAAAGAGGGTGCAGAGGATAGTATCTCTGCAAATGCAACTTGCTGGTAGAGAAGTAGCACAAAACTACAAATGTCTTTTAATTATTGACCTGTAAAAAGTATATACCATCCCATTCACCTGCTGTAATTATTAACCTGCCCTCCTACACATGCCATCATCATTTTGAGGGGGCTCTGGTGTGGCCAGGTGATCAGAGCTGAACAGGAAAGCCATGTGCCCATGTCTGAAGAAGCAGCTCTGCTGCACTCACCTCTCCACATTCTTAAGTTGTACATTGGGAACAGTGTTGAACTTGTGCTTTTTGAAATAGGCTTCCTAGAGAGAGAAGAGGACAAATGTCTTTAGGGGTCATCAATCATCACCTTTAGCTCTATTTCCACATTAGCGAGTGCATCTGGACTACCAGAACTGCCAAGAAAACACTTCCCAGGAAGAACTGCAGCAGTGGGACAATTTGATCTGCTGCATGGAAATGGCCATCAGAGAAGAGCCTTTTAACATGCGGCCTTTTGGTACAGTGAATAAATTGCTGTATTTACTTTACTAGTGCCACTGAGTTAGACAGGTACATCAAAAATCAAACTAGTGGCCAAGTCAATGTAAGACAGATGACTTTCTTTGCTGGGTCAGGTCAAGGGTGATTTAGTCCAGACCTCTCTCTCCAGATTCCTCTGGGTGCTCACAAGTCAGTGATTTGACCTTCCTCTGTTCTGTCCCCAGAATATGGTATTCAGTGGCACATTTCACCAGGACATAGAGGTTCCATGTACTTATTCTGGTACATGAATGCCTTCCTAGTTACAGCAATGGCTAACATGCACAGATTAAAAGCATCTAGCTTGTTTCTTCAAGCTTAAGTTGCCTATGGGAAATGTAGGGTTTTCTGAAAAGCTGGAGAGGCACGAGGAACTCAACAGCCAGACCATACATTTTATCTAATCATGCTCCCTCAAAAAGCACCCAAAGGTCACGAGGAAAGTTGAGAGCACAGTCAAGAGTTCCAGATGTAGAAGGAAGGAAGCAGTGGCAGCAGCTGCCAGGTGGAAGGGCTGGGGCCTGCTGCTGCTGCTGCTGCTGCGATAGGGTCTGCTTGGCCTACTCACATGGAAGTAGCCGTTCATGTTAAGACCAACAATGCCAAAGTGGTACGAACGTGAGACATCCGGGATGAGGCATTCGCGGCCTTTGCGCTGCTCTGGCATTCGCATCCACATGTCCCAGTCCCAGAGCTGAGGGGAGAAAGCACAGATGAGTGGAGTCCAGTTCTGATTGGCCTATTTTTCTACAGACTACAAGCCCATTCAAGCCGCTCAAAGCCCAACAGAGCAAAAATCATCCCAACCCAAATCCCACAAGTGGAGTCCATTGGTTCCTTCCCAGTTTTGCAAATGGGTTATGACAAAGCTGTTCTGGGGCCCAAAGTGTGCCATTAATATACACACACTTTGGTTCCCAAATAGGAAGTGGGGAAGTGTGGTTGACGTTTCTTCCCAGCACCTCCCCACTCACCCTGACATCTTCTGAATGGAATTCAGCCCTTGGGCCAAAAAGGCTCAACACCCCGGCTCTCAGTTTCCCCTCATCTGACAGCCTTCAATCTGCCCTCAGTATAGTGTGATATTTAGTAAGTAGATTCAATTTTACTGGTAGAATTTTGATTTATGGTGGCAAATTGGCAGGATTTCTGACTTCCGATTATTTAACAATGACTACAGCAAGATGCTGCCACACACAGTGAGTTATACTACATGAAGCTTATGCAACAACACAAGGAAATATATTCAACAACTTGAAAGCACACACATCCAAATGCAGCTTATGCAGGTTCCTTATTATAGAGTCCCTGGCTTCCTCACTTCCTTCACTGAGTCCAAACAACTGATGCCTCCTAAGCAAATCAGAAGCAAAGCACTAGTTTGCCCGTGTGAGATGCCTCTCATATATGGCCACGGTCCCTTTGGCTGCAGAACCACCATACAGATGCACTGCAGCAAGATGGCTCTTGCTAAAAGAGCATGCAGTCCTGGCAGAAAAACTCCTCTACTTTTAAATTTAAAAAATGCTACCAATTTTCACACATCAAAAATCCAAAAACATTCAAGGGCCCAAAAAACATTTCAGTATTGACATTTTTTTCTCCCTGTACCTTCTAGTCAACTTCACCAGATAGGAAAAAATGCTTAGAGACATTTCATAACCACTTAAAAACTGGATGTTTAAATGTTGCTTTCAGAGGTTTGTTTGTCTTCAGTACTGCCCGCTCCCATGAAGCGTTTATCAAGAACAAGGAAGAAGAAAATAATGAAATCTAGTGCCAGGTGGAACCTACATTTCCAGTGCTACAAGAACAGATACCATGGTGATGTTTATGGCTATTCAAGGGCAATATTCTTGAGAGGACCATCTGAGAGGACACTGACCTTCTCTGGTGCTGGCCATTTGGGCTCCAACTCATCCTTGTAAAGAGTTTTCCTCAGCACCCAGCCCAAGCCTGGCATGGTCTCCACACGATACAGGAGAGAGGGGTCCTCAGCTGTGTGCTCATAACCCTAAGTGCCCAGAAAGAAACATTCAAGAAATCTTCTCAAACATACGGAGTATTATGAAGTCCTCCATCCTGATTCTTGGTGGGAAGGAGAAGGGTCAGAATTCACAGTTGGGCATATGATGGACATGCAAGATCAGTGTGAGAGTAAGAAGGGATAACAAACAACGAGAGCAAACACCCACCTGGTCATTCCAGGCCGAGATGCAGTACAAACTATCATCTTCCTCCAGCAAATAGATGGCCTGGCTTAGGAAGCTGAAAGGGATAAGACAGAACAGTTGAACGGCACATTGTTCATTTCCAGCCTTCCTCAACATGGTGTCCTCCAGATGTTTGGGGTTTTCAAGCTCCATCAGCCCCAGCTGATCATCAGGAATGCTGGGAGCCCCAGCCCACAACACGAACCACTATATTCATGATCATTGCCAAGACCATGTCAAATGGATGGTGTACATGACCCCAAATGATATTCTGCTTGGGCATGAGGACGTTATTTTCTAATATACATAACTATATACCTCACCCTTCAATGTAAAAGCATTTTGTGGTCGTTTATGAGCTGGTCTGAGTTAGGAAAATCAGAAGCAGCAGTACACTGAGTCCATCTAGTTCAGTATTGTCCACACTGACTGGCAGGGGCTGTTGAGGCTTCTGACAGGAGTTTTGCAAGCCCTGCCTGCACATGCTGGGGACCTAACCTGGGACCTGATGAATGGGAACTATTTGCTGCACCACTGAGCATATAGCTGCATCCTGGAGTTATTCATCCTGCCCGCTGGAATTCTTTCTAATGGGCTCTCATCGTCACAGTTTTTCAACATCCTTAGAGTCAGTTGCAGCACATTAATGAGAAATTAATTTGGTCATTCTAAGGATAAACAGGACCCAGCTCGGGCTTCTTGTGGGCAACACAAGATAGGTCAGGGGACACATGGGGCTTAGCATAATGGGGTCAGCTCATACCTGAAGAAATCAATGGAGATGTCCAAGTCCTCCTCCAGCACCACAGCAAATTTGGCATCCTACAAAGAGGCAAAGCAAATAAAGTGAATGACATGACCAAGGCCAGTGCGCTCCAAGGTTCAGAGGCAATCACCAAGCCGTGTGGGCATTTGAAGGAAGCAGACAGTCCTAGCAACAGTCCTATCTCAGCTTAAATCTTGAACAAAGCATGAAGATATCAGTTTTCCAGCACTGCATAATCGTGAGTTACCAAAGGCCTTTCAATAGAGGCTGCCTGCCTTTGTGCATGCCTCTTGCTGTTTGCTAGGTTTAACAAAAAGAGCTCTGTAACTTTAGGCTCCGCTATCCCTGACCATTAGCATAATTATGTCAGCTGGTAGAAAACACTCCCCAGTGATTTCATGGAAGGACACAGTCAAAAAGAGAGAACTGTAAATCTGACTGAATATGGCTGAGAATGGGTAAGGAAGGAACTTTTTTGAGGGAGTACTACATACCGGATGCAAGTTGAATGTTGCAGTCAGACTGGCCTTGTAGTGCTGTGAGGGGAAAAATATAAGCTATTAGAAAGGCAGGAAGCATGTTTTGTGCCTACCAGATCAGTGATTACTTTACAAAGCATGCAAATCACACATCCTTATTCCCACCTAAAATCTAACCTGAAAAAAGAGCATGTTGTCATTATTACACTTAGGAATTGCAGCAGGAGTTGTGTGGCTGGCTTGTGTCCAGAGTCTCGCTGGGTATATGAGTCAAGTCAAGACAAACAGAGCCACTCCTGCATCTTCCTCATGAGCTGAGATTTGCATGCTTGAGTCAGAGGTCATGTGGCTTCACTGCCCTTAAGCACAATTAAGTGGGGCAATTCACTCAACAAGATGGATTCTGCCATAAAGAACTCTGGGAAACTGGCTGGAAAAGAAGGGGGGGGAACAAGCCACAGTAAGCCTGGTTGTCTGTTGGGAGCCTCAAGGGTTGCTCCACACAGTGTAGCTTATTCACAGGATGGCTTACAGCGTCATATGCATATGGCCACTTTATGTTTTCCTTTTATTTCTTACTCCTTGACACATGTACTTGGTGCTGTTAAACTCTCTTATCACTCACTTGCAAGTACACTGCCACCAAGGTGCTTGTGCATGCTCTCTCCTTCTGGGGGTAGAATCCTGAGCCTAAGCCTTGTGACTGCTGCCACTACAATGCATAGGCATGGTTTCTAAGGGGTGACAAAAACACAGCCCTCTCACCTGGGAAACTCTGGCATTTTTAATACTGATGGGGGTGTGCTGGATTCCCTTTAGGCCAAATAATTCTACCACATCCATAGGCTCCTGGAAAACAAAAAAGGTAACATGTAAAGTCATGCTTGGCACATGACACATTCACAACCTTTTGGACTCCACCAACCAGTTAAGAACAACACAATAGGATTGGGGTTCATAAGCTTGCCTCATAATACCCATCAATGAAGACTGTTATCATCTGAGGATTGACCCCTTGTGCTGACAGCAGAGACCGCAGCATCCTACAGGAGAGACGGCAACGGATTAGCTCACTGCGAATCACAGGAAATCTACTGTTAATCATAGAAACCATGAGCTGGGGATGATGAGGGCTGTAGTCCAACACATCTGCAAGCTGGGGGACCAAGCTGGGGGACCCTGACATAAATATTGTTATGATTCCTCTTCATTTTAAGTGTCATGTGTAGCAACTGTTGTTGATTCTCTAATGATCTTCCTCTCTGTACAGTTTGGAGAAACTAAAGTAATTTTTAGTTATATGAAGTTATATATTGTGGTTTATACAAATAAGAAATATCAGACTGGGAGGGCATGTGTATGAATGGCTCCATGAAACATCCTGCGTACAGGAAACAGCATGTCAAGAACTGTCTGAATCCTGTATGCAGGTTAACCAGCTGGTTTCTTTGCAGGTTTTCTGCTACAAATTATCTGAGTGGTGGTAGCCAGTGGAAAACTGAGCACTTAACATAATTCCAGGAAGATCAACAGTAGGTCACTCCAGACTAAGGAACTAGACTGACTTGAGCAAGGAAAGGAAGTACCTCCAATATGGGGCATACTTTGTATCAGCTTTCCCCAACTTAGTTCCCCTACAGATGAGTTGGATTCCCAGCGTTCCCCAGCCAAGAAGCTGGACAGCAGGTGGGGGAAAGCTGCCTCACACCATTATTTGCATTAGAAGGAAGCCTCCAAGACAGCAGAAGAAGGTGATTTGGTGGGCAGTGATCATGGCATGCACAGACAATGTTTTCCTTTGCAAGCTGAGGTAGGGCAGCTATTATACACCTCAAAACGTAAAAGCTGTGGTTATTGGGACTGTGAGATGGAGGGGGATATCAAGCAATCAGCTCCGTGCCTTAGACTGTCTTGGTTTTTTCCTTTCTTGCCCCCTTTATGCATGGAGGAAAGATGGAGATGCATGCTTGTGAGCTCTCCAAGAGGTTGGAGGGTCTTCTGAGAAGAATGGCCACATAAATTGGGAATGTGGGGCTCTTTTCCAAGAAGAGATGCGTAGAGGGAAGAAGATGGATTATCCATTCCTGGCTGCAAGAAACTACACCACCCTGCCAGTGGGGACAAGCCCATCCCAAGTCTCACCTGTACAAGTAGTTGGGTCTGTTCCCTGCAATGACGGCAACAGGTACATCAAAAACCTTGTTGTCCTTGAGCTAAAAGAGAAAGGAAGGCCATGAGGAGTTTCAGGGGGAAACAACTGAAACTCATGCTGTCTTCCCACCTACAGCCCTGGCTTGCTCTAGAACATGTGTGTGGGGAAGGAAAGGAACAGTTTACAGATGTTCTTGCACATGGCAGTGGCAGGCACCAATTAAGCACTTCCCCAAAGTCCTCTTCAGCATTCTCAGGAAAAGCAACCATCTTCTTGCCTATCAGATGCGCTTTTTAAATTGAATAGCCTAGAACTGGGGAAAGACCCCCACTCAACACACCATAGGTTCAGTTTTGTTTCTCTTATTTGAAGCTCAGGCAAGCAGAGTCTGAGGAGAAATGACATCATGCATCTTTGAGGACTGGACGCAAGACAGAAGAGAAGCTAGGCAAGAGCTGGGCAGGGCAAGATATGGGCAGAAGAAGAGCACTGCCAAGAGCTGCAGCACCCGGGCACTGATGCAAGAGGAGTCTCCCCTTCCCCAAAAAGCACACAGGAGTGGTTCAGCCATTTGGGCCAAGTCTAGTGCTCCCCATGGTTGCTCAGCTATGCGGAGAACTGGAGGGAGGCTTTTGCACATTCTCATTAACTATCTTCCTGGCAGAAATTGGGAGCCCTCACTAAGATGTACTCACTGGATCAGGATTGAACTCTATAGGGGTGGGATCCTTGCAACTGCAGACGCTGCCATAACCTTCCACCTTACTACAGAAGCGTTTCCTCCTTCGGTTCAGCTCTGTATCAGGCCAGTGGCATTCTGCATCTGTGGGCATATGAGAGAGAGCAAGACAGACAACATTAAAGTGACTTATTTCACTGCTCTTCAGTCTACAGGATGGGCTTTCTTGTCTTTTCTCCCTCGAATCTATGACACAGAGTGTATTGCTTGGGTGCCATGAAACTTCAAGAGCAGAACTGCTTATCAGCTGAGATCTAATGACTCTAATTTGATTTCCTGATCTGCTTTTGTCCCCCAGTTGTCCACTGCAGGATTCACAGCAGGTGACAACCTTTTCTGAACCTTACCTTGGCTCTAGATTTACTGGTCCATTATGGTCCTGTGATTCTGCTCTTAATCAGGCCTTTTAGAATGGCAGCCCTTCCCACAAAGAGCCAGCAGAATGTACCTTCCACAGAGGTTAGCTGGACTTCAGTTTTCAGCAAGACTGGCTCGCCCCATGACGACAGCACCGGAGACTTGGCATGTTTCTCACCATAGACCTCACCTGCAAAGAAGGTGATACACCAGGTTAAGAGCAGTCAATGATTCTCTTATTCTTCCCTATTCCTGCCTGCTGCATCAACCCAGAAAGATCCATCACACTCAGAAAGGAAATCAAACCAAGCCTGGCTTTTTTCTGAATATCTTTGCTTCTCAAGCAATAGAAGAATGATAAGCAAAACAGCCTTCTAGGTTGCACAATTTTGAAGTGAGGAGGAGGCAGAACTTCCCATTTTGGAGAAGCTTTTAGGGGCCACATTCCAGTGGTGGGCTGGGCTGAAAGTGAAAGGGGGGGTTGGCCCAAAATATTAATATATATTGGGTTTAAGTGAGCCTTTTCAATCTGTTTTAGAATGGGGAAAAAACTGCACAAAACCCAGGAAACCACCAAATGTCCAGTGAGATCTAGTGTGGCACAATAGTTAGTCCTGGACTGGGACCTGGCAGACCAGGCTTTTAGTCCTGGCTATGAAGGGCACTGGGGACCTTTGGGCCAGTCTCTTGCTCTCAGCCTAGCCTACCTAACAGGGTTGTTGTGAGGATAAAATGAGAGGAAAAGGAGGATTATGTCAGATTCCCTGCAGGAGAGGGTAGGATGGAAGTATAATTAATGCATAATGACAGTAGGTGGTTGGGAAAAGGGACACAGTCCCCTGAGGAACTTTGAAGGGTCAGACTGGGACCCCGAGTGCACAGCGTTTGGGCCATGGGATTTCTGCATCCTTCCTGAGAGGATGAGCTGCCCCTGCTTTGAACCGCTGCATTGCAGATAGTGTGCCAGCAGCAGAACATTTCTCCTCCTTACAGTACGGATGTAGAACCCTGCACCTGTCCCACATGAGTGGGTCAGAACAACGTTCAGATACCATCAGGAAAGGAAGACAGAGAATAGACTACACAGTTAGAAAAGTGCCTCATCAGCCTTGCCTTTTCCTTAAAAAGAAAAGCCACTAGCCCACCAGAAACCCTCTTTTGTCCCACGTATTCCCCCGGGGAGTTGTGCCAGACCCAGCTCCTGACCTCCTTTCTTTCCCACAAAGGTCCACATGTCCCTCCAGCTGAGGGAAGCTGCAACCTGGCTCCCCAAGCTCTTCAGGAGATTCTTGGCTGTGTCTTTGAGGTGGAAAGAGCCCTCATCCTGAAAAGGAACAAACCCCCCAATGTTATTTACACGCAGCATCGTTCTAGTTTTGGGAACAATCTTAACTGTGTCCAGGAGCAGAATGAGCCTGCAACTTTTGCTGAGTTGGTCAGAAAGATTACTTTATTCATTTATTCAATTTCAAGAGAGCGGAAGCTCTTTGGGCAGTTACTGATAAACTCATAGCAGGTTTGATTTGTATATTCAGAAAACTATATGCAAAAAATTCCAGAGTTTTTGAGCGTATCCTGGAGTATGTTTCTAAGGCACAATCCAGAACAAAGTCCTACAACTCCCAGCATGAGCCAGCTGGCTGGGACAGACTAAGAGGTGTAAAACCATTTCTCTAAGCATGCATAGGACTGCATCCTTAATGCATTTTAATCTTCTTTATAAACCACTTAGATACATTGTTAAAATATAGTAAGTATAATATATGTCCATTAAATACCAACACATGATTATGATATATGACATATACACACAAGCATGAGTCTGCAAGAAGCATTCAGCTTGGACGCAGCAAAAATATAGCAGCACTTCATGCCATCCCAAGTGCTTCTACGCTAGGACAGTATAGGCAATCCAAACCTTGGTCTAATTTTGCAGGCTGGGGGAGACTGAGGGTCAGGGTCGAAAAAGGAAGAGGAAAGCGATTTGGCAAGAGCGGCCTGCCCTTTCTCCAGCAGCCTGGTGAACAGGAAAGAAGATGGAGAGGGAAAGGAAGTGAGCGGGGAAAAGAGGGCGGTTGTGCCCCGCACAACTAGAAACAAGGAGAAGCACTTGTTTCTGGAAGCCAGATCAGGAGAGCTCAAGTAAGAGAGTGCTACCAATCTGCCCCGATCCAGGACTGAGCGTTTCTGCTCATTTCAGCACTTCCTATAGGCGGTGTTTAAATCTTCATGGTGCAAGTAGCGGGTCCCACCTGTGGAATGGAATAGGTGGGAGGGGCCACTTGTGCAACTGAATTGGCAGGAAGGGCTACTTGTGGTGTGCCCCTGTTGGATACTGCCCAATAAGGATGATTCTGCAGCTGGAAGCCAGGCTAGATGGAATTTTTTGGCTAAACCGGACCTTCAGCGTCATTTCCTTTTTTCTTTGTCGCCTCCTGCTTTCTAAGCAGCATCACAAAGGTTGCTGGGTTAATATTAGGTTGAACTTACTATGGCAGTCACTTGGTTTCCACTGCTCATAACAAACTTTATTTTCATGGTTAAAATAAATGTGTAGGTACTTGGCATTTCTTTGGGCTTAAAAAGTTCTCAAACATTTTTTAAAAAACTAATCGTTTAAATAAGTAATAAATTTAAGCCTTAACCTTTATTTGGGATTTTGGTGTTCTGCATTTCAACTTATGATGACCTAACCAGGCTGAAGCACAGAGAATTTAGGCTAAACAATAGCATCCATAAATCAAGTCCATAATATTTTTTCCTACAGACTGATCAGGACTGGTAAACAGGACTGGTAAGCAGCGACATAGTTAGATGGGAGGAAGCAGAGTTAGTTTTTGTATTGGTTTAAAAGAAAATGGGAAAATCCACTGAACACATCACCACTGTCTATATCCATGAGAGGAGTCATGATTCTATATTTCACCTACCTTAATGGTGAAAATAAGGATGCGGCCTCTGGCAACCATGTTGAGGAAGAGAACCATGGCTTCATCCTCATGTGGAGAGTAGGTGTCAAAAACCCGCTTTGCCATCACATGACCCTATTGAGAAAAATTGCATCAGAACAGGAGTGCAGAACCTCAGGCCTGGGGCTCACCCAGGGGCAAATCCAGGTTTCTCAGAAGGCCACAGCCCTTCAGTGAAGACCCACCAGAACTTGAACTGAGACCTCCAAGCCACTCGTGCTCCTTCAGTTGAGTCTGCTAAGCAGCAGAAGGTGGGCAGGAAGCCTGCATTTTGGCATTTGTATGTTTCCCCAGTGTAGCACCACTGGGAGAATGGTGGATATATCAAAATGAGAGTTGACTAACAGATTTTCATCAAGAATTGCAATAGAAGTGCTGCTTTTTCCCATGGTGTTGCCAGAAGTAAGTCCCTCAGATAGGTGAGGACACCTATCCTCAGAGGTGGCCTTTATCCTTTAGCCAAGGCCCTTTCACAGCCTTGGCTAAAGACATATCAGTTTTGCTGATCTGTTCCACCTATATTTCACAGATTGTCACGATCCTTCTGTTCTATAGTCCTTTCATTGGCAAAATCAGATTTTGCGTACAACCATTTTGTTAGTCCACAAAAGCATACTAGTGGCAGTCAGTGTTAGTGCTAACGCACACTTGTGCAAACCTTCTCAAAGTTAAAAACTGTCCACAAGTCTGTGGAATCCATGAGTCTAAAAAGTGGCTCCATTATAGAAGTCCCAGACTAGATTCATAAAAATCTGAACTGATTTGAATCAGTTCCAAATTTGTCTGACATGCCTGGCTTTGGCCAAGACATAACAAAAACCAACAATGGTCTGTACATATAAGAAAGTTGCTGAAACCCCTTCTGCATTTCTAAGGTTCCCCCGGTATTCTAGCTCCAAGTCCAGAAAGGTGAACTCTAGAACCCACTACTGGGTTCTGGTGAATGTGTAAAATCACTTTATGATAAGAAGAAATAGGTTGCCCTCCTTTAGCATGACAATACTGATTCCCTGACCAAACCACTTACCGTAGCCTGATTTAAGACGATCACATGGATGCCTCTGCCTTGCTCCCGGGCTTCATCTTCCAAAACCTGTACTATGATAAAAGCAACCACGATAATACTCCATCCTGCTACACACTGCCACAATTTATGTAGGTGCAGACAGTTCCTTCTAAGAATATCCCTCAACAGTTGCTAAAGTTCTGTAATAAAGCATTCATCAGAAAACTAGCTGCTTATCACTGCCTTCCTTGAGTAAGGAAACAACCAGCCCATAGCTAGTTGTTCACAACAAAGAAATTGTGAACTAAGATGCAAGAGCACTATCAGGGGACTGCGCGCATGTGTTTTTAGAGAAACAAAAAGCTGGTGAAACTTAACTGCAAATAATGCTATTACCAGGTTGCAATTCCAAACACACTTAAGGAATGATCCTATAGTCCCTAGACATTGCCGGTGGTGGGGACAGTGAAAGGATAGTTTTGATTCCTAGCTCCTAGAGCAGAGACAGCACTCTGACAACTGAGCTGGAAAGAACCATGCCAGAGGCTTTCTAAGGCTGGGAAGGAATACAAAGGGCGTAGGCAGGGGAGGTGTCCGGGGCAAGCAGGATATGATATAACCCGAAGACAGTACAGCCTCCTTCCATCCCCCTTGGGCATGTGGCCCACAAGTGGAATTCAGACCAGACAGGTGACCACTCCTCCCACTCTGCACTGGATGTTTGTGGGCCTCCAAGTTCAGGGACTTATGGGCATTGCCACAGGACTCTACCCTTACAAGAGAGCAACTAAGGGTACTGAATGCAGCAGCACTAACTTCTGAATAAACAGATACAGGATTCTGCTTTAAAACAGGCAGGCTGTCTCCATTTCAGAAGGACGGTGTGCTTTTCTCCAGAGCAGAAGACATGAACATTTGCCAAGGCCCTCTTAGTGCATTTTCTGTTCTAGCTCTTCCACTGGCCCTCACCGTTGTCCCATCCACTGCCACGTACACCTTGGAGCGGCTGGAGTACACCTCAATATCCAGAACTTTCCTACTATTGACAGGCCGGCGTGGAATCTCAAGGTTCTGCAAGCCTTCATCTGCGGAAAGAGAGAAAGAACACCACTGTATATCCCACTCTCAAAAGGCTTTGGTCAATGGGCCTTTTGGACAGTGCCTTTTGGGTGGCAATACCCACCTGGAACCACCCCAGAACATTTTCAGGCAGGCAACAAACACATCTTCATCTCAGCTGGCTATTAATAGTCTATGACATCAGATTAAAGGTTTTAACTCTACTCTCCTTGATTTTAAAGCTCCTATTTGCATTTGGTTAATTTTTAAGGATGCAATCCTATATATGTTTAGGCAGGAAAAAACCCGACAACAAAAAAGTTTTGGTTGGAGCATGCTGAGAATTGAAGGGCCTTTTTCCCCTAAACATGCCCAGAATTGCACCCTTAAGCTTGGGTTTAAGTTTTGTTGACTTGCTTTTACGGTTGAAAGATGGTTTCAACTGTTTTTTTATATATAAATAGATCAAATACACACACACATGCAAATGTATAATTTTATATATAATACATAATTCTAATAATATAAAATTAGATATTATAGCATATACTATACTTAATTATAACTGCCTTCTTGGTGATTGCGCACCATGTCTGGAATGGGCTTCCCGGAGAGGAATGCCTGGCATCATCATTGTTATCACTTCAGTACCAGGCGAAGTCATACCTTTTCTCCAGCTATTTTAAAAGTTGATTTTAGCAGACCCTTTTCCTGTCTTATAGTTATATCTTAATTTAAAATTATTTATTTAAAAGTGTTTATGCAGTGATTTTAATTTGTTGTATTTTCTCTCCTTGTATTTTTGGATTTTAATGTTAATGTTTTATTGTTATAAATTTTTAAAGTGTCATGTTGTTTTAAGTGTTTTATAAATCACTCAGAGAGCCCAAGTGTGGGCTAATGGAGCAGCATATGAATTGAAATAACAAACAAACAAACATAATATAATATAAATAAAACATTCCTATTCTAATAGAAGTATTATAAGCAACCATTATCATCACAAAGCACAGGGAACACAGGTTTTTCATGTTAGCCTCTACTTGAGGTTTTTCCATCTCCATTTTAAAGATTTTGCAATATAAACAGGAACGCTTAAGAGCATTCTCTGCTTTCCCTATTTTATCCATGATTTTAGAGATCCTGGATAATACCCTGGATGGGGCTGATGATCTGGCAGGTATAATTAATTTGTCACACACAGCCTAGGGAAGACACTGGGTGCATTCACATGTCATATCAACCTACCCTGGTAATAAACCACACTGTGTTAGAACATAAGAAAAGCCATGCTGGAACATATCAAAGGTCCATCTAGTCCAGCACTCTGTACACATGGTAGCAAACCATATGCCCATAGGATTGATCCCTCAAGCAGGATGGGTGCAAGACCTCCTCCTTCCCAAGCTCCTCAGCAACTGGTGTATGCAGGCATGCCACCTCGGGTAAAGGAGGTACCACACAGCCAGCAAGGCTAGGAGCCATTGAGAGCTTCCTCTCTCATTCTGTGAACAACCCACAGTGTGCCTGACAGCCAATTAAGTTCATTGTGGATTGTTAGCCCCTCCCTCTCACTCAGTCCTCCCGTGGGTATCCCAGGGGAGACTGTCTCAGGACCAACCTGACTCCATCATCTCCCTGCCATGAAGGAAGAGGACACACTGAAGGGCTGTCAAAACAGGGATTGTGAAAGCTGGCTGGTGTGGTGTGGTGTGATGGGGTGTGGTGGTCAGAGAGTTGGACTCACAGTGGGGAGGGACTTTGGGGACACTTGTGAAGCAGCTGGCATTGGCAAGTGTCGAAGCACTCTTGCCAAGAACAGCAAGAGGTTGCAAAATATACTTTTTCTGATGCCCCACAAGATGCTCAGCTAAAACACACACTCTGCTTCCATCATCCAGCTGCAAGAATTTGAACTCACCATAATCCTGAGCAGATTCCTCCTCTAAACTGGCTGCTCTTCTAGTGTCCAAGATTAACTTTATGTTCACTATGACAGTCACCAGCAAGAAGAGGATAGCCCCCATCTGCAAGGCAAAAGCCTCCATCAGGTCATGAAAACACAGTGCAGTAGAAATGCAATGCTTCAACTCATTCCTTTTTTTGAAAATGCTGCAAGCTGAATGATATGCAGGACACAAAGGTAAAGATGTAGCATTAACAGCAGATGAAGAGCCTCTGGGCACCCTTTTCCTGTCCCATTCGCCTCCTCCTTCACTGGTGAAACTGTCTCTACTACTTCCATTCACATCCATAGGACCTAGTCTCTTCTGTAAAATTTTGCCTTGTATTTATAGGTGAGCAGTTTAAAAATGGAAGACATCTTCCCTTCCCTCTGCATTTACTCCATTTCCCCATTTCCAAAGCCTCCCATTTTTCCAGTATGTAGCCAGCCATTATTCATATCCCTTTAGGACTGAACTGCTGATACTTGGAGATGGAAATCAGTTCAGGATCAATCTCATGACATGACACAGATGTTACCTGCCCTCCCACGTTGGATAATAGTAATGTGATCAAGGGACACACAACTCTTTAAATGAACTTCATTCAGGAGAGCAGAGTGGCATGCCATAGGGAGAATGTGAAATGTTAGCAACAAAATACGCAGGTTTCAAAGCCTGTTTTTGACATTTGGATGTCACAAAACATCTGCCAACTAGGCTGGATTTCCAAACAGAAGCCTTCATCTTAATACCATTTACTGGAAAGTCAAGCTAGAATGTGTTGGGTAACAAGACTGAACTCTTATGTTTCAAGGAAAACTTATTTTAAGACAGGAGTGCTGAACTGTAGGTATTGTGGGTCCTGAATCTTTCTGTTACACCTGCTGAAGGGTAAAGCAGACATCCAGGACAGGAATCTGTTACCAGGTTTAACACAGCCTTTGCCAGCCAGGTACCCTCCAAATGTTTTAGAAATGACTGACTTCAGAAGTTAGGGTTTTCATACTTACTTGGATTAAAAATAGTACAGGAATTGGTATCTTTCTTAAAGATACTGTGAGAGAAGTGACCAAATCCCAGAGAGCCAGTGTAGTGTAGTGGTTAAGAGCATGGGACTGGGACTCGGAGGATCTGGGTTCGAGTCCCCGCTCAGCCATGGAGCCAACTGGGTGACTTTGGGCCAGTCACAGACTCTCAGCCCAACCTACCTCACAGGGTTGTTGTTGTGGGGATAAGATGGAGGAGAGATGATGTAAGCTGCCTTGAGCCCTTTGTAGGAAAAAGGCAGGATATAAATCACAATATAAATAAAATAAATAAATAAAACTTCAGCTCACCAAGGGCCAAATTCAGGTTCAACATTTCTGATGTAAGATAGTCAAGGAGAATTTAATTACCACAAACATTTGGGCCCTCTTTGCTATCTTTATTAATGATTTAGATGAGGAAGTACAAGGGAAGATAATCAAACTTGCAGATGATACAAAACTGGGTGAAATAGCAAATATCCTAGAAGACAGAATGAAGATCCAGGGTGATCTTGATAAACTTGAACACTGGGCGGAAAGCAACACAATGAGATTCATTAAGGACAAATGCCAAGTCCTCTACCTACGGGGAAAAAAAACCCCAAATGCATCGATACAAGATGGGGAATACGTGGCTCAACAGAGCCGAAAAAGAAAAAGATCTTGGAATAATTGTGGACAACAGGCTAAATATAAGCCAGCAATGCAATGCAGCTATAAAAAGGACAAATGCTATTTTGGGATGCATTAACAGAAGCATTACTTCCAAATCATGAGTAGTAGTAGTTCCCCAATACTCCTCACTAGTCAGACCTCATCTGAAATACTGTGTCCAGTTCTGCGTGCCAAGATTTAAGAAAGATGCAGAAAAATTAGAAAGGGCCCAGCGGAGAGCAACAGAAATGATCCAGGGTTTGGAAACACTGTCCTGTGAGGAGAGACTGATAGAACTGGGCATGTTTAGCCTTGTGAACAGAAGACTGACAGGGGACATGGTATACCTCTATAAGTACCTCAAAGGCTGTCACAAAGAGGAAGGTCAAGATCTCTTCTTGCTGATACCAGAGTGTAGGATACGGAATAATCAATTCAAATTGTGACAACCCAGATTCAGGCTAGATATGACAGTGGAACAGCTGCCTAGAGAGGTGGTGGGCTCTCCCACACTAGAGACATTCATTAAGAAACTGGATAGCCACCTAAGTGGGATGGTTTCCTTGGTTTCCTACAACAGCAGGGGGTTGGACCCGATGGTCTTCATGGCCCCTTCAAACTCTACTATTCTATGATTTTTAAATTCAGGACCTCTTAGCACAGGATGTGGCCACTCTGTCATAAAAAGATCTGCATTTAATATCAGCCTGTCATTTCACAATATCAAGTTGAGCCGTTGCCAAGATGACTTTAAATTGAGATAAAGCACAGGCTGATTTCATATCAGTGAAGAGCAGCTGCTTAATAGGAACCCAGAGTCCCTGTGTCTGCATGAAGTGTGGCAAGATTGCTTCAGGTGAGCAGAGAATATGCACTTTATTACTCAGGAAACAGATGTCTGTATAAGTTGGGAAGCTGTTTTATGTAGCGTGATGGTGTGTGTGCATATGGCATATGTAAAAAAACGGCCACTCTTTATTTCATTTTCTCCTTAGAGATGTAGCCCTGAGTAAAGCTCGTAAGTTTTATTTGTTGGACACTTGATACCTCTGGTCTGTCTACATGTGAAGAACCGTGCAGCTGTGCCAGCAACCCTAGGACTAGACCAGTGGTGGCAGGACCCACTGCTAAGTCATGGACTGACCTAAGGTAGGTTACGACAGTGGCGCTACCACCATGCAAGTATATGGTAAAAAAATTAAGATGCACCTCTCAATTGCGTGTTTGGATGAAGTGCAGGTCCCAGGCTGGAAATGACAGAAGGTTCCTTCCTATGTCTAGACCAGGAATGCTGAACTTATTTCAGCTCAAGAGCTGAATTTGATTTTGGATAAACTTCCAGTGGTGGGTGGGAATGCGGTAAAGGGAATAGGGCCAAAATGCCCATATATTTTAGATTAAAGTTTTAACTGCCAGAAGCAAAGCCTAAGCAGAGGAGTTCCCATCTTTTAGTATGAAAAGAAAGTGCACGAAACCTAGAAAATCAAATCACTGGTAGTGGGAGGAAAGATGGCAGGTCCAGGGGAAGGGGGCGTGGCCTGCTGGGGAAGCCTGGAGGCCACAGTGGAGCCTCGGATGCCGGACCTGAGGTTTGACAGCAATAAGGCATAAGGCTGCTGTGACTTTATCAAGCCACTATACTCGTGACAACCACAGAAGTTGTATGTCCACCGCCATGGGACCCGACAGAGCACTAGCCAGAGGATCCATATGTTCTCACTAGCAAACATCTGAAGATGTGAAACATTTGAAGAGGGCTTCAAACAGGAGTAGAGAATGGGTGGTGTTCCAGATGTTACTGGACAGGAACTCTCATTAGACTTAGTCAACATAGCAAATGATAAATAATGGGAGTTGCAGTACAACAGCATCTGGAAGAACAACTAGTTGTCTGTCCATCTCTGGCTTATAACAATATTTGTCTCCAGAAATGTCCTCCACAATCAGTTCAGATCTACTGATTATGACTGTAACCTTTAAAGGGTTGGATCAAGCAACTAAGGCATTGACTGGTAAAGTTTGATCAGGATGTTGAGAGTTATTGCTTATTTTTAGGCTACTTGAAGTCTGGCATAATAGGAAAATGAAGAAATGCATATGAAAGATGGCCTTTTCTCCTAACACACACATCCACTTTTCCCAATTAAATGGTAAGTTCTCTTTCTTCCTTGAAGAGTCAATTTACAGACACCTTTATAATATTCAAATTATTGTATCAATAGATCATTCTGATAAAAGTGATATCATTAATTCACAGAGAAAGCAATCCCATGGCCCATAGGCATTATCTGAAGGGTACACAATATTTTGGATTACCTGATTCAAGGTTGGAGACAGTGCTCTGAGCTCAGAGATGGAAAAAGAACTCTGCCCCCTCCCCACCATCATGGAAAGAAGTTGGCTGACCTCCAAGGCCAGAAGTTTAACCTTAAAGGCTGGCATTTTGGTAGGTGGGAAGGGAAGGAGACTGGAAAGATGAGGATATAAGTTTTTCTGAGGCTTGACCAACACACAAAAAAGCCCATCTAGCAAAAGAAATGCAGGGCAAGTGGATGAGGTAGTGAAGATCACTTTCATCACTTTTCCTGCCCTAGATGGGATATACATAAGTCTCAGCATTCAGGGACTCATGAACACAGAAGGTGCAACTCAAAGGACTGTGCCCAAAATGTATTTAATTGTTATATCAGACAGAAGCATATACTGTAAAGCAGGAATGGCCAACCTGTGGCTCTCCAGCTGTTTTGCCCTACAATTCCAGTCAGTCCTAACCAGTATAGTGAATGGTTGATAGGAACCATTTAGATGCCCTAATTGGCTCTCTGTTCAAAGGCTGATGGGAACTGTAGGCCAAAATACCCTAGTGGCCCAAACTAAAGTTAAAAACCTGCTTGATGATTTTGAAATCATCACTCTAGAATTATTATATTTCTGTACCACCCGTAGCTGAAACTGTCTGGGTGGTTTACAACAACAATCATAGAATCATGCACTCAAGTCACTCATCCAGATTCTAACCATGCCTGACCCTGCTTAGCTTCCAAGATAAAGCAGGATCAGTCACTTCAGGCTATGTGGAAGAACACTGGTTTATTGAAAAGATACATGCACATGACTTTTTAAAGTTTGCATGGGATTCTAGTAGCAGCTGATATTGTTTGTGCAGAGCTGACACAACTGTCCCAGCAAACTGTTTCCAGCTTCATATGCTACAATTCTGAAGAGAGGTGATGAGGAGGCAATGTTGGAGCACTGTGCTCTGCCCTTGGAATGAGCTATCTTGGGTCTAGCACCAGCTACCACCAATGGAAACACCACCACTGGAAGATTTATATCAGTGGAACCTTCTACACAGGTAATTGGGCCTCATGGCAGACCTGCTCTGATCCTCTGAGGTGGAGGGGCACCTCTGCCACATCCTGACTGCACCTGCTTGAGGATCTGCGCAAGGGATGCTTCTGAGGGACCTCTATCTTCCAGTTCCCTCTCACATCTAACACATCTTTCAGACAGTCTTGATCCTTTGCATCACTCCAGAGATTGTCTGCTCTTTGCTTCCAGTTTTGCTTCTCCATGACTATGCAACACATCACCTTCACTTCAGTATGCAAGAAAATATGAAGAAAACAGTACTTTTCTTTCCCCAAATTTCCATGGGCTTATTTGTGTGTGTGTGCACATGGTGTTTTTTTGTTTGTTTTTGCATTTCTGTAGCAATATTCTATTACATAAACAGATCGCTTTAAGTAACCACACTGCAGGGAATAGAGAGCCAATTAGTGCAACTAAAAATATATGGAAAATAATTTAATAGAAGCATTAGAAAGTACTGCAGTCCAGGATCTGAGAATCTGTGTCTGGAAGCAACTTTTACCCTCCTCCTTTTGCTCTAGCTTTTCAATGAAACCTGTTCAGTATCATTGGTGAAAGGAGAAATTGACAGTTTCTATACTCCTACAAATCCATTGTTTTGGCTATTTGTTAAGAAGCATCACTAGTGTCATATTTGTGAAGGATTACTTGGAATAGCTTTTGCAGTTAGCCATCTTTCATACAAGGAAAAAACCCACCTTAATTTGCTGCAAGAATATCAAGGTCGATGGCTAGAAAAAGGTGTGATAGCTTAGTTGCAATAGCTACATTAATTTATTTGGAAGCAGTGCCCTGCCTAAAGAATACTCTCCTTACAGAGCTGCAACTGATACCAATTCTGACAACCAGGCCAAAACATTTTATTTACCCCTTTTGAAATATGGTAGGCTCTCAGTTATTAATCTGTTGCTTTAGTCGTGTGGTTATTGTCATTGTATCGCAAACTTTAACTTTGGTAAGCAGACTTGAAAAGCAGTATGCATGTTTTCAAAAAATGACTATTTCATGGTATGCCAGATCAGGAGTTGAGATTTCAAAGGGTTAGACCTGGAGGGAATTTTGGTTTGAACAAGCAGTATGAATAGGATACATTGCAGTCTAGATGCTGCAATAAAAGGGGCATGTGAGGAACAAGTGTCCACATGGAGAGTGCATATTTGGAAGGAACAGAAATATTTCAACTCCCAGTCGACTGTCATGCTAGTTGGGGAATGGTAGGAATTGTAGGACATTTGCCCTATCTGAACATGTGTAAGATTGCATCTTGAGTTGATTTTAATTGGTTTGCGTTAGACAGTGCTGGCATAATTCTTGGGGGTGACCCAGTCTTTCCCCAGTGACAAAGGGTCAGGATTTTGCTTGTTTATTACATTTATATACTGCCCCATAACCCACAGGGCTCTCTGCTGTCCTTTAACCAATGGAATTTTCTATACACATTATTTTGAACAAATAGAGCCAATGATACCTATTGACAGACTGTTATTTTCAACCCTATGGGACTCAGCGTAAAGTTCTATGTTGTCCCTACATTCCAACCGGCCTTGGTTAAATCACCAAGGCTACAATCCTATATTTACTTAGCCAAGAATAGGCTAAGCTGTTGAACTCAGTGGACCTCATTTCTGTGTTGATATGTAAAGCAGGGGTCCCCAACCCTGGGCCAAGGACTGGTACCGGTCCATGGCCTGATAGGAACTGGGCCGCACAGCAGGAGGTGAGTGGCATGCAAGCAAGCAAAGCTTCATCTGTATTTGCAGTTGCTCCCCAATGCTAGCATCACCCTGCAAATACTGATTATCGTCAGGGCCCTTTTGGGTCTTGGGCCTCAAAGGGAGGAGGGGGTGGCGGCGGCGGCGGCGGCGGCAGCAGCAGAGCAAGTGGCATGGATAAGCTGGGAAGGGTCTGTGTGAGCGGTGAGGAACTGGGAAGCAGGTAAGGGGGAGGGGGAGCAAGTGAGGAGTCTGAACAGGCACGGCACACATGTAAAGAAGCACGAGGAGGTGGGAAGAGCCACCAGCAGGCCCCGTGGCACCACTGCAAGGCCCTTTTGGGTGTTGGGCTTCCAGCATTACGGTGAGTTGTATAATGATTTCATTATATATTACAATGTAATAATAATGGAAATAAAGTGCACAATAAATGTAAGGTGCTTGAATCGTCCTGAAACCATTCCCCCCGTCCCCCACTGCTCTGTGGAAAAATTGTCTTCCACAAAACGGGTACCTGGTGCCAAGAAGGTTGGGGAGCACTGATGCAAAGGATCGCTCTGTCAGCCTCTGCTCACTTGTGGCAAAAGGTACCAACAGATGAATGCTTATGGATACTGAGGAATTACAAAGGTCCTCAGACTGGAAGTGATGGATATCACTTTGTCAGTGCTTTGCTAAATGCTTCCTCTGAATTGCACGCAAGTGGTTTACAGTCAAAAAACTGGACTAATTGGACAAAAACAAAAATACTGTAGGAATGGTTAGCAGCAAGAAGTTCAGAGTAGAAACACTTAACTGAGCAAAGAGAGGCAAATATGCCATGGTCACTTTTGGTCAAGACTTGCTATAACATGATCTTTCAACCAGTGCCTAAACAAGAACTCATACCTGAGAAGTACACAGGGTTCTATCTTTTTAAGAGAAAGAATGCACTATCTACTTATTTGAACAGATGAACCCTTTTCTCAATATATAGAATTACATTATCACCTCCTTCTTCTAATCCTATTTACAGAGGTTTTCTAAAAAAAAGTTTGAATTGTGCACCGTTCTATTAATTCTGTTGCTACAATAGGGAAAAGCAATTTTTTCATAAAACAAAGGACAATAACAATAAAATTCACAGTAGATTAGACATTTACTAATGCTATGACATCCATTCACAGAGGCTTTCAGCTCCTTCGGCACAGAGGCTTCATAATCCAAAAGCATTTAAAGCTGATTATTGCTTTTAATTCTAAGCAGACAAATGCATGGTACCAGCAGCAGAACCAAAGCAGAAGTATGAGCAGGCAGGACCTTCTCTCACCTGACACAGCCTTCTTAGTGCCCTCTGGTTTGTCATCTTGTATTTCCAGGCCAGGTACCAGCTGCGCTTCTTCCATGGCTTGGCCGGTGGGTTGGGTTTCCACTCATCCATTACAGTAAGGGCAAAGCAGCCACAGCCGGCTAGCTACATGAGGTCACTCTCAGCACCCACTCTTCTCTATTTACGCTTTATTACTGCAACCTGGCAAAGTACAGAAAGCAGAAGTTGAAGTACTGAAAGCAGAGGCAATCCATCAGCCTGAAAATCTAGTTCTATGGCAAGCCAGTTTAATATCTGTAGAATTTTAAGAAGTGCCAGGGTGCATAAACTTTTGATTTACGTAATTTGTTCTACTTACAGTGCAGAGCAAAACATTTTGGCAAAAGATCAGGTGAGAAGAAAGTAAGGAAACTGTAGAATGCTTTTTCAGGAAGCATCAAGGGCTGAAGAATAATGGACTATATGAAGGGAGAGAGCCAAGCAAAGGATTGAGGGACCAAACACTCCTTCCCATCCCACAAATGCTTATTATGACCACAATGTGTACAGTGTGCAGAAAATGAGCTTCAGGGATGCAGAATGCCTTTGGTAAATGTTAGAGACCTGGGCAGGATCTGTTGGAGCAGCCTCCCCAATTGGTACCCCAGGTTAATGACTTTCTGGTGTTTCATGGGCTACAACTCCCTGGATTCCTGCGCATCCATAATGCTGGCTGGGGCTGATGGGAGCTGCAGTGCAAAACACTGGAGGGACCAGGTTGGAGAAGGTAGCTCTGAAGCCTCCTCTGCTCTGTTCTTATCTGTTGCACTGGCCTAGACAATACTGAGCCCAAACAGAGCAGGGTTCTGACTCAGTACAAAGCAGCTTCCTATCAGAAGATGGAAGATTGTACATTTGCCAATACCTAAGCTGATTATGTGCACTTATCCCATGGGAGAATCCCTAGCCTCTTTCACGCAGCAGCAACAGCAGTACCTGCAGCAAGCGGGCCCTTTCCTAAGCCTCAGCCTTAAGTATATTTCTAGTCTGAAAACAATGAGACCTCCCTCCAAATGAACACGTTCAGAGTCTTACTGATCGCCACCACTTGCATCAGCCAAAGCAAACCGGAACACAACTGAGGGGGGCGGGGGGCGTAGCTGATGCACAGCAATAAAAGCAGGTAATGTGGTTGCTGTTACTTTTCTCTCCATCGTGATCCCTTTTCTATCCCCCCCAGAGAAAACAAATGGAAAGCAGCGTTGCCTCCACGGAAATAAACAGAATCAAGAAATAGCGGCGCGGGGAGGGAGGGAGGGCTACTCTATGAAAAGAACAGGCTGGGTGTTAAGCGACTTACAATAAAGCTCAAGCACGTCACCTGAGAATAGAGATCTTCTTAAGCCCGTTAATAAGAGCAAACGGAGTAGACAAGCTTGCTCTCCAGCAGCGTCCGAGGAAGCGCGTTAGGAAGGCTGAAGCCGAAACCACCCCAGACGACAACAACAGAAGGGAGTGGATGGTGATGATGCAAAACGGATCATCGAGTTTTGCCTCCGATCTCCAAAGGAATCGCTCAGGCGCTTGCACACATACGCCGACTCCCAGGGGGCATACCTACTGCCTGCCTTTAAAGGGAGCTGAGCCCAGAGCTCTGCTCATAGCCCGGCAGCGCGCAGAGCCCGGACCACGGCGGCGCTGGCAGCTCTGACCAGTCACAGGGATCCTCTGCAGGCTGAAGCCGACGTGCCTCTCGCCGCTTCCGGCGCGGCATATACGGCTAGCAGCCTGCTCTTAAAGGAGACGGCTCCGGCAGGGCTACTAGCCAGGTCAGGAGAGGAATGGGTGGAAGCGGAGCGCCTGAAGAGGAGGAGGCGGAGGCGGAGGCAAGCCGAGGGGGTGGAAAGAAGAAACAGGCCTATCGCAAAGCGTGATTGGCTCCCTTGGCCGTCCCTCAAAGCTTGGGTCCCGCCTTCGCAAGCAGTGAAACAGACCCGGAATGCTCTGCTCGTCTCCGCGAAGGTCCCCTTGCCAGCCCTGCTGTGCGTCAAGCTACAGGAGCGGGACGCAACACAGGCGCCACTCGCCTGTCCTTGCTGCGCTGCGAAGGGCAGGTGTGCAGTCCTGTGTAACTTTAGACGGGGAAAGGTCCCACAACTCCCAGCATTCCCCAGGTAGCCAGAAAATACCTGTGCCGTGCTAGTACACCTTCGCAAGTGCAATGTGTTGCTGCTCGCAAACCACCATTCAGAGTTGTCACAGGAGTTTTAAGGACAGCAACAGGCAGATTTCCCGGACACCTTTCCTGGATGCTCATTTTTTTAACCTCTGGAGATTATCCGGGTATAATTATTCTTTTGTTATTTTAATATGTAAGAGGTAGCAAACGCATGTTTGCAAGAGCTGAGCAGGTCGGTCAAGGAAAGGGCTTTTTTCGCGGAGGGATTCTCCATGCAGTTGCTCTAATTTGGAGACGACTTAACAGCACGTGGGAACAAGAAAGCAAACAGGAGTTTGAACAAGTTGCAACAAACCCAAATTTCTCCCCTACAGAGATACATAGAAAAGGGAAGAAAGGATTATAATCTGCCTTTCAATAGACATGTTTTCATGTAATAATAAAATAAAAAAATTACAAAAATGCCAGCATCAAGATAAAACAGCATGTAACAGCACCACAAATCATGCCGAAAGATTAAAAAGCTTCAGAATGTACGGAGGAGTTCTGCCAAAAAGACATCCAGGTGGGCTCAAGCCAAGCTCCCTGGGAAGAGGTCTCTCTACCCAAAACCCATCTTACTTCAAACTGTTGTGGCAGGCGGATGGCATATGCAGGTTTATGTGGGCATAAAGGAATTCTTTGGCTGTTAAAATTTTCAAAATAGACTTTTGAGGTGAATGTTTGCAGTAGATTTGTTATTGTTCCAGAATATTTTTAAACAGAAGAGTTCATTTAAGTCCACGTTATCAGACCAAACAGGTATGTCATGTTAAAAATTGAGAGACAGCATTGCATGGCACTGAAAGCACTGGCCTGCCAAGGTACATATTCAGTAGGGGCCTCCTCAGCATTTTTTTTAAAAAAATAGAATGCATCTCTTTATGTGTGCCTTTAATATTTCATTGTTTTGTTTGGATTTTAGACTGTCCTCTGACCCCAAAGGGTTGACGTATTAGAGAAGCATGAAAGGTTCTGCCTCAAGGATAGAACTGGGAGAAATATAACAGAAATGGGGATATAAAGAAGAAAAGAGTAACAATTTCCTATCATATTTCCTGACAACTTCTCTCTTTTTTCTATGCCAGGAGTGAACAACTTGTGGCTTTCTAGGGTTTTGTTTTGGCCTACAAGTCCCATGATCCCCTCCTTTTATTTATTTATTTATTTGATTTCTAGGCCACCCCACTAGCCATAGGCTCTTCGGGCAGCTTACATTGTTAAAATCCATTACAACAGTAAACAATATAGAACACACATGACAGCACACAATACCAATAACAATAAAATTGTAAACAAAACTATCAAAATTTGATAAAAACAAGATAAGCAAAATAAAATAATACAACACACACACATCCCCAAAAGTAGAACAAAACCATTAAAATTAAATCATATCAAAAACTAGCATTAAAACAACTTGGCAGCAGCACATTAACATAAAACAAAATTAATATATCAGTAAAAACAAAAAGGTCACCCAATCAAAATAACTACAGAACAGATGTGTCTTTAGTTGGTGCCTAAAAACCAGAAGGGTAAATGCCAACCATACCTCTGATGGAATCAAGTTCCAGAGTGTGGGCTCTATGTTTGAAAAAGCTCTCCTCCTTGCAACCGCCCCCTTCATTGTGGGGAGGAACATGGAAGAGGGCTTCAGATGAGGACCACAGTGACTGTGCTGGTATGTATTAGCTATACTGGCTAAGGTTGATGGGATTTGTAGGCCAAAAAATAATCTGGCAGGCACTTCTACGCCCACTCCCGTGGCATAAGAAAAGCCCTACTTGGTTTAAACCTAATCTAAAGTAAATACAAAAGTTTTTCTCTTTTGTCTCTAGCTAGAGTTATTGATGCGCTCCATGACTTGTCTTCCCTATCCAGGACTTCCCATGGATGTTTTCATTAGTAATTGCAACTGGAAATGGTTCCTTCCAACCAGCAACAGAGGCTAAATGAACACCCTCTCCAGGTACCCTATATTGGCAACCTGCAGGAAGCAGTCCTGTACTTATGGATGGCTTTTGCTTCTATAGGAAACCAGTGATGGATTGAAAATGTCTGCCGGTTGGAAACATTAATGGCCACAAGTTATGACTCTGAAATGCAAATACTGAATATAATATTTACTAAATGACTGAGAAATAATCAATATTCACCTGCCTACTCCCACAAAAATTCCTGACAAAATCCATGACAAAGATGCATCTTTACATTGAAACACAAAACCACCATCTCTTTGTTGGATTGAACCAAAGATCTAGCTCTAGCATGATTCTATGCCTATCTCCTCAGAAAGTCCCATTAGTTCATTGCAACTTACTCCCAGGCAACTGTAGTCTTGGTCTAGTCTTTTCTTTTGAGCACTTACTTGATAGCCATAAATGACAAGAAATTGCATGCAGTTAGGTGGGTGAACAGGCTGCTGGAGGAGAGAGAGGTCACTCAGTGTTCCTTTGTACCTGGTATAGAAATCAAGCAGGCTGCAGGAGCAAGGAAGCACAGCCAGCACAGAAATATACCTAGAGGCTTCAGGAAGAATGGTGCTCTCCATTTTTCTTCTGCCAGTCCCTTGTAGGCTAGTAAAACATTTTGCAGGCTAATAATTTTTGTGGTCTTATTTGCAAGACAGTTGGGCATGCATAGGAACTGTGCATCCAGTAAAAACAAGATGGGAGCAGGGAGATCAGGACACAGCTGCTCCTGCTTCCAGGTACTGAGCTTATAGGGATGCTGAATACTGGACTACCACCAGAACTGTATTATTTAAATCAGAGGGCTATAATAGTGATTATATAACTGTACCACTGGGTGGCAGCATAATAGCAGCATAATGGAGGGAAGCCGGACAACTTCATAAAGTGGCTATGTTTTATTAAGCAAGGACAGGTAAATAGTAAGCATTGCTTGAACCCTGTGCCCTGTGGGAAGGCATAAGAGGAGAAGTCTGGACCAGGTAGCTTGGGCCAGCAGCTCCTGAAGGACCATCAGTGGAAACTCCAGAAGCTCCCTCTTTAGCTGTGCCTTCTTTCCTAACCTGTACCACCTGAAGGCTAGCAGGAAGAATTGCTGCTGTTATCGCTGATTGGACATGACATCAGGCATTGCCCTTTGGAAGGGTGAGCGGCATGTGAAATAGTTTACTAGTCCAGTGCTTTCCAGTGGAAGAGGCTCTGTCTTGTACTGCATGGGCACTGAATGAGGTCAGGGCATGCAGACCCATCTCAGACACCATCCACCTGTGGAGGGGTCAGTGTATTTCTGCCCCATTTCTCTACCCTTGTTCTATATATTAAGAACATAAGAAGAGCCATGCTGAGATTAGACCAAGGGTTCATCTGGTCCAGTGTTCTGTTCTCAATGCAGCCAACCAGCTGCCCATGAGGAATCCACAAGCAGGACGTGACTCCAAGGGCGCCTACCTGCCCATGTTCCTCAGCAACTAGTGTACACAGGCTTGCTCCCTGTGATACTGGGAGTTGCATATAACCATTGATGCTCGTCTCCTTCTCCTGGAATGTGTCCAGCCCCATTTGAAAGCCATCCACATTGCCCACCATTACTTCTTGTGGACACACATGCTGTCGTTGAACTATCTGCTGTGCAAAGGACTTCCTTTTATCTGTCCTGAACCTCACACTAGTCATCATCCCGGGATGATCCCAAGGGATTCTGGTATCATGAGAAAAGGAGAAAAAGTCTCCCTATGCACTTTCTCCATGCTATGCATACAATTGAACAATTCTGCACAAAATATTCTGTAATTTTGTAACTTCTGTTGTATTATTTTAAAATTCTAAACTGCTTTGAATGCAAGGACTAAAGGTAAAAAATGTATTAAGCAAAGCAACACAGTGCAACAAGATTATATGTTGAATTATCTATAATTTATATTTTGCTATGGATTATTTATTTGTTTTGGGTTGTTAAATTATTGATTGCATTTATCATGTTGTGTGTGGTTTATATTTTATCATGAGATAGCTGTAATCATTTCACTGCTTTATCATTTTTTTCCAATTTTATCTGTTTTATCAATTGTTTTATTAATTGTATTGTATGCTATTTTCAGCATTTGTAAGTTGCCCAGAGAACTTTTGGGTTATGGGGTGGCATAGAAGTGGAAATAAATAGATAAATAAATAATTCTAAAGTGCTTATCAGGATGACAAAATGGGATTGATCTGAAGTATTGTTTAGTGCAATTGCTAAGTGTTTGGTCTATTGTAGCTTTTAAAAATTGGTTTTAAATTTGGCTTTTAAATTCTGTGTTGTATTTTATGGTTATTTTATTGTTATTGTGTATTGCATTGCATTGCATTTTATCAGCTGACTTGTGGACTACCCTGAAGACTATCACCATTGGGTGGTAGAGTGGTATAGAAATATGAAGACTACTACTATCTCACTGAAAGTTTGCTTCATTATTTATTTGGATGTAACTGTATAACACAGTCCATGGAACAAGAGCGGCAGAAGCTCCGTTACAGAGCACAGGGCTGGAAGGATCACAGTCTTCCTCCAGAAAGAGACAGGGTAGAAACATAGGCACTACCTTAT